TCCCATTCATGGGCAAAAATCAGAAACCCTGATTTCAGATCTTCGATTCTTTCTCGTTGTTTCGAATTCAATTGCTGCGCAGACATCTTACTATGTGGCAGCAATGAGCCCCTTCACTACAACAACATGCACGCTAAAGCCATCGTAGGGGAGGCGAAATTAACGCAGTCAGGCATGCGTATCGCTCTCAGTAGTTAATTGAACGGGAGTAATGTTCAGTGAGTGCTAGAATTCCCAAGTACTCCTTCTTTTTCAATCTTTTGATAGATTTCTATGATTTACAATGAGTTAACTATTCCCAAAGGTTAGCTACTTACAAAAAGAGAAGACTATGAAATGTCAAAGAAAATAAGGGATTTCATGTCCTGGTACCCACCACTGACATCATCGAAAAATCCAGCATAGGCAGATGCAGTGCACAACAAAACGATGACAGTAATTCGGCGAAACATGGTTGAAAGTGAATTGGTGAGAGGCGTGGCCTCAATAGCAGCCGAGCGAGGCCTTCGTGAAAAGACTGGGGCGGGGGTATGCGTCATCCGCTTTGGAGGGACTAGGAGAGTTGCCTAGCGCCCAAAATAAAGTCGCTTGAGAGGATCAGATCCAAAAAAGTGAAACTGAAGAGAGTGAATAGGCTGGGATGTTACGTTGTGTTAGCTAATGCTATAGTTTAGTAGTTGACCTCAACTAACTCAACCGAGAAGAGTAAATTCACGCTTATGAGTGAGAACTGGAGGCGACCATAGGCGAGATGATCCATTTGTTGTTTATACCAATGTATTCGTATTTCTCGGAAAAAAAGCGCAACATTAGGAACTTTTATCAGTAAAAATCTAATTACTTAGGCCACAAAGTCCCCAGAAACTACTCTTAAAACCTAAATTTATGTTTTGCTTAACTCTTATTTATACACTAATAGTGCAAGTAGATGTTCTTTTTTGGTGTCAAATAGCTGGCCTTGTTGATGAGTAGTCCTAGAAAACTAAATGCACACAGGGTTCTAAGATCAGGTCATTGTGGATTATGATAGAAATAGCTCGCTTAATAAGCATTTTATCATTGAAGAATCTAGCCATTTGCGGTTACCCGGAAGGTCACAACAGTTTCTTGCAAATGATGCTTTAAAAAGTTTTTTTTATTCTAAGTGCCAGATTTCTCTTGTTCAGCGCCTAGAAGTTAGTTTGGAGAAGTTTTAAATATAGCTAAGACATGTGATTTCAATTATTTTCATGGGCTTGCATGGTTAAACTGAATATCCTCGGAAATCGCAGAAAAAAAAACAGGCGATTTTCACGATTGTCAAATCTTGCAAAACAATCTTGATTCTGTTAAAAGTGAAAGTTTTAAAGCTTTATCATAAGGAGTACAGTTTGATGGGTGCTGGAAAAATCCATTGAACTAAAGAGCTTTGTTTATTGGTGTATGATACAATTTATTGATATTGATATATTTTTGCTATTAATCTAGTTTAATGCAAATTTTGCTTTTGATGAAGAAAGAGCTTTTCATCTTATTGTCTCCGTGCTACCCTGAATTCCTAGTTCCAATAAGGAAGGAAGAAGAAATGTGCAAAAACCGCTCTGACCAGCTAATAGTGGGTAAGGCTAAAAAAGCCTGTGTAAGCAAAATCAAGGATCAGAGAATAAAAAATTACGATTTTATTAAACATACTACTTTCCAATCAAAAATTTAGATTTGACAAAACTCAGAAAGATTAACCACACATTTCGTCATACAGGGATAAATCTATATTCTTTCATGCGTCTAGTCTTCCTCTCCTTTTTGTTGATTTGGCCAATATCCAAATCTATTTCTAGGATGCACAACAGGGTTTGTTTATTGGAGTTCCTATTAGCGTTCGAGTCGTCTTCCTAGAATATGAATGTTCTCGGAAACAATTTTATGCTATTTAAGAGAAAAAAGCGTGGATTTACTACCCATGGCTCCTTCATTGTCATTAAGGGAGTGGTGAGTTCCTAGAGTTTGCGAAATAGTAGCATAACT